CAATAGTCTATAATTCGACCGCCTTGTAACTTACAGCATTCCCTGCTGAGGAGTCATCGGAGCGGAAGTAAAGATCCCTAGGGGATGATCCTTTTTCTCTTCTTGTCATCGGAACCCCAGGAGGGAGGGAGTTAATCGAGTGGAACCCGACCCTTAGTTGTATATTCCCCATGATGCTTTATACACTATATTTTCTTGGAGGGCAACTTTATTTTTTGTATTTCTATTAACTCAATTAAATTTTCTTATACTATTTCTACATTCTTTCTACTTTCACTTTTGAATATCTAGTAACTCTCATCTTTGTTAAAAAATAATTGTTTTCTATATTTTCATTTAATTTTTATGTATCGGATATTATATAATTTATATTCAAGAAAATTATAAATTTGTGTTGAATGAAAGGAGGTTATATGAGAATTAATAATATTTAATAAATAATATATTTAAGAAAATAGAAACTAGTAGAGCTTTCAGAAAATACAATTTATAATTATAAAAAGAAAGAAAACGATAGCAAAATTGATAAGAGTATTATTTGTTATATAGCCATCTACATATAAATTTTTAATTTATTTTTTCCTATACAGTATATAAAAATAGGTCACAGTATAGATATACTTATAACAAGGAAACTCTATTAGGTCTATTTCTGATTTTATCTATCATAAATAATCTAAAACAGTTATTAACAAGGTCGTCATTATAATATATAAGCTTAATAATAGAGAAAATTGAAAAAAAAAGTTCAAATATCAAAGAAAAGACATTATTTTATATGAATTTAAGATTATATCATTAAAAAAGTCTGTACATTCAATATATATATATATATATATATTTCCTCCCTAAGAATACAGAATGCTTTCTTTTCTAAAAGAAAGATTAAAATGAAATTTATTACCTATATATAGTAAATTTACTGAACATTTCATTGAATTGAAATTTTAAAGAATAGATAAACATTTCAAATACATTAGAAATTAAAACATTAATTAAACCCACACATTAAATATGATTTTCGAACCATTGTAGACCTATTCGCGTGAGAAGTATCATAGAGAATCTATTACGATCGGTCGTTGAACAGCCTTCATGCTTTACACATTGAACAGTTACCCTGCATTGCTAAGGTCCAGTACAAATAAAAGGTTTGATGCTTGCAGCACCAAAAGTGCCACAGTAACGAGTTTTAGTACTGATTAATTTTTTTAAAAATATCTTCCATATGTTTTGAAATGTCCACACTAAATTTCGTTGCACTCGACTTCTAAATATTTGTCTAGATAGCGTTTAATACCAGGTATTAAATTGCAATCCTCATGTACTGTACTGTACAGTACATAAATATATCAAACTTTATTACAGAAATTTATAGACTATACTCCTTATTTTTAAATAAGCAAATTTACAAATTTATTATATTAGCTTAAGTTTATATCATTTTGCAATAAGTTATATTGAAACATTCAACAAATATGGGTATATAAATTTATTTTATGAAGTCAATTACATCTTTAATAAGTTTTTCATTTTTTTTTCTTTTTTTTTATAAGATTAGACTTCTTTTTGTTGTTCTTATATTTCTTTTCCACACACGCTAATCGATTTAATGAGAATTAAACCCGACACATTGCATCCAGGATCGACGAGATCTTGCACGAGACCGCTTTGGTCTTTTGTTTTTTTTGAACAAATGAAATACATAGAATGTCTCTATATTAATAAAAAACTGTCTTTAAATTTTATTTTCTGTTAGTAAAAATAACGTTAATTTTATAATAATAGGAGTCTGTACGTGCCTCTAAGTTTTTCCGAGCTAGAGGAAAAATCTCCAGCTCCTCTTTCTCCTGATTACATTGGCCAGTATAAAGACGGATAGAGAACGATGTGTAATCCGAATTGACCATTAAAACACTCATGAAAATCAAATTCAAGCCCACTCCTTCACGATAACAGGATATTTTAAGCGCGATTATTCAGTTTGTCAATAAAAGTTTTAGAAATATTTTTATTAGTCGTTAACAGAAGAATTTTAATATTTTACCAAATTCAAATAAAATTTTTAAGAATGTAGTTAGTATTGAACTTCTACTTGGCATTTATATGGTATTTCTTTTTCATCATTTTAAAAATTTAATAAATAAGATAATTTACAATATTAGAAAATGAAAATAAGAAAGTCGAAAAAGTAATAAGAATCTCGAGATAACTTGGCAAATGTAAATTTTAAAACAGGTGCCACTTTTTAAAGCAAACTTTAATTTAATGCCGCTAAGAACACCTGTTCCGACTCATCGTGCAATGTTATCAGTTGAACAATCCTAACTGTTAAAGGATCTAAAATTTACTGACGGTTGTGATTGACGGATTGCAGAAGGCCCGCGGCAAAAAAGTACAAAAAGTGTTATTTTTCTAGCCAATTTTCTAGCGGCGGTGTCTCAGTATTCCTCTTTTATATCAATCTTTTTCATGGGAGATTCCGAAACTTTAAAGAAGTAATAAAGAAATTCAAAATCACATTAAGTTTGAAGTTCATTTTGTGATTTAAAAAATTGTGATTATTTATTTTAACAATATTTTAGTTAAAAAAAAAGGTAATTAAAAGCTATCAAAATTTTCCTATTTCATTTTATTCCAATTCAAATCAAAATGAGGTTTATTGATTATAAACCTTTGAAGTTAAATAATTTTTGTTTTTATTGTAATTTTAATTTTGTACTAAGCCGAAGATGATAGACTTAATTAACCTAAAATTAAAGTTTAATTAATTTACTTTGTATTTGATTTATGTAAATTACAGCAAATTAATATAAACTCTGATATTTTTCTCCCACTGCCATTAATTATTCTCTTTTTCTTTCTTTCAATAGTAGATAATCTCGCTTAAAATATTATAAAAGGGGCATCCATAAAGCAGACATAATAACTTTTGTTTTCTACAGTAAAAATTCAATATTATTATCATATATTTAATATTTTAATTCCAGTTTTGTAGAATCCAATTTAATTAATATTAATACGTAATTTTTGTTGAATTTATCTATTGAAAGTGATATTCACAGATCATGTTTTTTCTGTCAGTATTGACATTTATCGATGGATCTCGCAATTTTTTCGGTTCAGGTTTGTGGTAAAGAAAACATTTATGTAAGCTACACCTCATTGGACTCTGCTACCGTTTAAAGCTGGCGATATATTTTTCCCGCGGGCAGTCAGACGTTACGACACGGCAGTAATGCAGGTCGAGACCTTCGCATCGCTCAACGGGTTCGACAGATGACAGCCTCTGTACATAATGGGCAACCAAGCGTTCTCTTGCAATAACTTTTCGTAAAAAATTAGCAAAAAAAAAAAAAAAAACTTCAATTGTGCTAAAAAGTGCGACTTCGAAATATTTTTTCAACAATTTCTTAAACAAAATAAGATTTATTTTTTCGATGCTTTTTAATATTTTATATTAATCTTCATTACAGTTTAATGAATTATTTTAAAACTAATTTCTATTTTATTGTTATTCTAATTTTTAAAATATGATAGCTTCTACGAATAATAGATACAACACACATACACCTATAAAATGTTTTATTTACTTACTTTAAATATATTTTTTAATGAAAGATTTAAAAAGCATTAATAAAAAGAAAATGCTGTTCATATATCTAGATTATAACGAGCGGCCGAAAATAAGGAAGAAAGTAAAGACATTGAAGGGTGGAGAAAAAAGTAGAATAGAACAGACAACCCGATAACCCTAATCTCTCAGCCAATAATTAGAGCCGAGAGACGTCTCATTTAGTGGCGACATCTACCAGCGGGTGTCGGAGATAGTTGATGGATGGCCCGGTTACCATTCATCCCCTTTGCTTGCACTGTGTCTCCCCTTTCAAAATGCTTGACTGGCATCTGGACAAACGTCTCGAGACAAGTTTATCCTCCCAGGTCTAATCGGGCTTATTTCTTATGTCCGCTGCCCCTCCCAACTGCGGATGTAAGGGAGATGGATAGGTAGGCTTAACTGTTTTTATCGCAACAAAAGTGGGCCTCAGAGCAAACGAAAATTCCTCGAATGCAGATTATTAACGACTCCTCCCATTGGGTTATCCTCCTCCTGTTTGATTTACACTCGTTACTCTAGAACGAGAAGCTATTTATCAATCAACTTAGTAATAAACGATTCCATATAGAACTGGTTCATAGGAAAAATATTAGTCGATGAACAATAGAAAATCATGTTGTACCATGTCTATTCTTAAACGGTATATTATTTTAAATGCTAAACTTTCAAAAGTAGAATTTAAATTTTTTTTCCCCAGAAATATTAAGGCATATTTGATGATAAATAAGTGTACTCTGCATTATTATTGTAAAAGTTAAAAAAAAATATGATAATTTATTAAACTTTTGATGAATGATGGATTTCTAATACATTTAAAATTAGTTCCAGTCACTCTAATTTCTTGGAAATGATTAATTAATATCGTATATCAAGGATATAAACAGAAAGGTATAGCTTTATAATAAACATTATCATAATTACTAGTCTATACTGTATAAACAGAATTATTAGAATCTTTTTAAGAACCTTTTTGTTTCTCTAGATTGTCATTTATTTTTTATTGTAGCTATTAAAGTGTGATTGATGGGTTATCTTGTACTTGATGATCTTTCATATTAAACAGATGCTATTTTATTTCTTGTGTGGCCTAAGATGCATCAAAGATTAATTTTGTACAGGATATTTTATGTAAGCTAAATAATGTACAGTCAATTATATCTTAGTTAATTTATATGTATAATAAATTACCAAGTAAAACTTGTTTAATTATTAGATAAACTTTTATTAATATTTTAATAATCATATTTAATGTTAATTTAATTATCCCGTATATTATTACAATAACTAAATTAGTTAAGTTTTATTTTTATTACGTAGTAACTTAATGTAATCATTATTATTATTTTTCTATATGTTTTAAAAACATTAAACGTTTTTATAGGCAGTTATTTCCACTCTGCTTACTGAATGCAAGTGCCATGGAGTATCGGGTTCATGCACTATGAAGACATGTTGGAAAACTTTGCCCTCTTTCACTACAATTGGAGACTATTTAATGACGAAATATCACAATGCTAAAAGGGTTACAGGTTATTGGGCTAAAAAGAGACGAACTTTTTCCGATAAACCACTTTACCTCAGATTGAAAAAATCCAAATCTCATCGAAGACCTAAACCCCGTGATTTAGTTTACTTAGAAAATTCTCCAAATTATTGCGAAGCCGATGTGATGAAAGGTTCTTTAGGTACCAAAGGAAGAAAATGTAATAAAACTTCCTCATCTACAGATGGCTGTGATTTGATGTGTTGCGGAAGAGGTTACAATACTCACCAATTTCAACGGACATGGCAATGCAATTGCAAATTTCATTGGTGCTGCTATGTTAAATGCGAAACATGCAACGAAAGGACGGAAGAATATACGTGTAAGTGATTTTCATACTTAAGAAAAATTCATCTTTTGGATTCAGTAACTGAAAAATATAGGGGAAATTTCTGTTGTTTTGTTGTTGTTGCTGTTGCTGTTGTTAAGTGTAATATTAAAAGAATAATCAACTCTTCCAGTAAGACAATTGGCTTTCAAGTTTTAATTTGTCTTATTAAAACTGGATATTTTAATTTTTTTTTTTTTTCAAATAAAAACAGAGAGAAGCACTTTCATTATAAATGAAAATTATTGAAAGGAATTATAAGCTTTCGGTGTTTTTAGAATTGTGCAAGAAAAACATCATCACAGGAATTATTTTAGATTTTTGCATTTTTCCAAGAATGAACCTCTATAGACTAATATAGTATCATTTGTAGCTGTTAATTCTGTTTCTTATTAGCGTATTTGTTTCATTATTCAGAAAATGAATCTAACATCGAAAAGCAACGGAAAAATGAAGTACAAAATAATTTGGTACAGGAAATAATAATTTCTGTGCAATTGTTATTAGCGGCTGTAGGTTATATTGTAAATAAACGGAATATTTTATAACCATAGTATCGTGTTGTCTTTTTTATTAAATAAATTAAATATGTCTAAACTCAATTTTTGAATTTTATGAAATTTTTATAAATTATAAAAGTTATTTCGTCTTTCATAATGAATTTAATAAATGATAATTATCACTTTTTAACAATAAATATGGGTTGTTTCTTGTTGTAAAGACGAATTCGAAGGAAATCAATTTGGTTAAATCTATTCTAATTCTAAATATACTGTAAATAGATTTTAACAAAATTAAAACAACTTGGTTAGAAAATAAAAACTGCATTACCAATGAATAATAAACACATTTCCTCAACAAAAGAAGTGAATGAATATACATATGCACTTACAGTGTGTTTCATGAAATCCACACGGTGCCGTTTTGCCTTGAGGGAAAGCATCAGCGCTCAGCAAAAGAGGCCAGATTCTCATACGGTTTTTGCTTTTTTGTTGAAAATCAATGTAAATCTTGTCAGCACACGGGAAAGTACTGTCAAATTTGGCATGTCACACATATCATATCAACATTTCTGATTTAAGAATCCGGCCCCTTTTGTCGATGCCGATGTTTTTCTGTAAAATCTTTGTGCATCGTAAGTCAGCACGGAAACTGCAAATTTCTTGATACACACCACATATATGATGTTGCAGAATATTTAATATCAGATATTTTTTAGGTAATTTATGAGAACGCTACTAATTCATTTGAATGATGATTTTATTCTATTACAATTCAAATCGCTTTGTTTTAGTTTAGAAACTTATCTCACAGGCACTATACAAGGTAAGTACAGTACTTTAATTTTGCCGATAGATGTTTTCGTTCGCACGAATAATTATGACACAATATGTTTGTATTGCTAAAACCTTTGTTGTAATGAATACAACAAGCTTCTGAGTGAAATACAAAGCAAAAGTGCATATTTATGTGTGGAGAAAATTTCAAGAACACGCTGCAGTATGTCTAGTAAACATCAATGTGGAGTGATGCGTTACGTTCTTGAGTCTATAATCCAGTTACACTGCAATTTTTTAAATTAAATAGATAACGTCGAATAACTTTTTTATTGGAAAAATAGTTTAACTAAGAAAATTTTAACTGTTTACATTTAGTTTATTCATTATTATCAGAACAATAGGTTTTTGTCTTGTTAAAATACTCAAAGAGGAAGCAACTGAACACTATCAAAAAAGGGATAATGAAAGAGTATGAGCTTGTGCACTCAAGGCTATATAGAGAATCCTCACACGGTTTCAGCATCATCTTTTTGACAGTGTCTAGCTGCTTCCTCTTTGAGCTTTTTAACTAAACAAAAACCCATTATTCTGATCTTGAGACGCCCTATGACTTTGTAATATAAACCATGACTTTATCTTTCATAGTATCCAAGATAGGATTTACTTCCATGCAAAGGGGAAGTTGGGGTGGCATATGAACCAACAAATAGTCCCCCTACCATTTATCTGTATTAAAATGCAATTGATTTAATTATTATGCAGCAAAAGCGAAATATAGCTAAAGATGGATATGAAGCGTATGAATTTAATATATGAATAAAATTAATTATTTAAAATTTGTCGCAGTGATTTATGATTTTAAAATCAACATTAAACTATTAAAAAACGTCGAATACCAGTAAATTTTCATGGTAGGAGACCGTCATTCAAAATTACAATCAAACTGTCGTAAAGTGTATTTATAAGTCAGTGTATTTAAAGTATATAAAGTGTATTTAAACTGTAGTCAGCAGGTGACACTGTAATTTTTGTATAGGAAACATTTTAGAATTTCATACAATTGTCAAATTAATAACTATTTCCTTTATTATTTATTTTATTTGACAGATAATCAATGATATATGCTTATATATTAATTTTATTTACAATTAATTTTTTCGATTATTTACGATTAATCGTTAGATGGTGTATATGTTTTTAATGAGGCCTATATTTTTATAGTCATGGCATTAATTATCACGAAGGTTATTTCATTTCTTTCAAGGTTATTTCACATTTTTTATTTCAAGGTTTGTGCACGACCCTATTCTCCCCATGTTAAAGAAATAATTAATTAGTGCTGTAAATGGCGCTGTCTTCGTGTCTTCAGCAAAAAGCTACCTTGCCGACGTGTTTCATATCTGAATGTAAAAGCGGTTATGAAAAGAAAAAAAAAAAAAACATTATGAACTTTTAACCAGTAATGACCAAACAAGATATTTCTTGATGTACATTTTAATCCAATATTTATTTTAAAAATTTATAAACATAATATAAATGGCTAGAATGTTAAAATTGAATAAAGAAAATGAGATTTAACCCCTGACGCAGTTCCCACTTATTTCCAAATTTTTCGAAAACCTTGCGCCACCAAGAAAATCGCCTTTTAAGAGAAAAGATAACATTTCAAACATGACCCAAGTCCAGAAGCCCCAGCAAATAATGATGGTAAGTTAGAAGCATTTTATTTGATCATTTCTAGGGTTAATTAAATAAAACCAATGGTTATAATAAGGCATTTTAAAGTCACGTGACTTTGTAAGGGAATTATAAAAACAATGAAAAAAAGCTAAGTTGGTTTACTTTCACTAGGCCTGAATGGGTTAGACTACATTTTCCTGAAAATTTTAAAGTTGTTCTAGTAAATATATTTTGATAGCATAATGGAATTAAAATAAAACAAATAGTAAGCTACATTAAGTAAACTAAGTTACCTACTTATAATTTAGTGGCTATCCATATTGACTGGAACTTTAACATATTTTTTGTTTCAGGATCTTTAGCTGAATAGTGAAAGTTCGGTCGTGTGTTCGCGCCTCGCCTGGACGGGCTGGCCACGTGGAGTTTTTCGGGTTTTCTCCACCTCTGTAAGGCCTGAATAGGGGCCAGTTACTTTTAAAAAACCCCCCGGAAGGCATCTGACCCTAAGCAGATCGCCCAAGTGTTGCGTTGCCGAGTCCTATCAACTCTAAGCAAGAGAAAACAGGAATATCACCATTTTGAAGGAGACAGAAAAGAAATTACAAGCTATGTTCTGGAACCAGGAAGTGTACTTCATTTAGATCCAGTTCCAGATAGAGACCATGATTATGTTGCAGTTCCTACTGCAGAAAACATTGTCTTTTATCTAGGTCGGCTGTATTGTTTGAAAGATTATTGATGATAAATGTGATGCATGCACTGGAACATTAGTACAAGAAAGCTCACATTATAGTGCTGTAACTCTGCTAACAGAGAACATAAGAACAAAAGGAGGTTTAATTTATCCTTAAAAAATGTACACAATTTATTAAATGTAGTAGACGAGTATGTGAACCAAGCACTGAAGAATGAGTTAACGGGAAGGTGCTAGGGGATAACTGAACTAGGGGATGAGAGAGTTAACAAACTTAAAGTTGGTTGTTCAAATGTGGAACACCACATTTCTCTTACAGCCAAAATAATTCATTTTTATGTTACTTGTAGAGTAGGCTACATTTCTTCGTTAGACTGAAAAACACTCAAAAAGAAACAAAAATGAAACCTAATGAAAAACCTAAGCTTGTCGTAAGTTTGCACATTTATTTTGATTAAAATAAATTTTATAATTTTATTCTTCTAAGTTTCAAATTATTCTTTATCCATTTCGATTACTGAAACTATGTAGTACCAATTAATCAGAGACGTAGTGAGAAATTTTTATACTTTTTATTTCAATACAACAACACATTTTTACAATAATTTTATTTTCCGAGCTTTTCTTTGAGCAAAATTATCAATTACATTGTCAAAATTTGCTTCACAAAATGTTTCNTTGATGTTTTAGTCGGAGTCAGATGGTAAGGAAAAGTCGGAGTTGGAGTCGGTAGATTTTTACGCGACTTCCACAGTCCTGGCAGGGCTGTTGAGTCGGAGTCGGAGCCGGAGTCGTGGAGTTTTGGTGTTTTAGCCGGAGTCAGAGTCGGATGATAAGGAAAAGTCGGAGTTGGAGTTGGAGTTGGTAGATTTTTAACAATAAAACACAATACTAGTGTTTACTACGCCACAAAAAAACAAAACCAATAATAAATGGATAATACAGAGACATAGTGAGGAATTTTGGCACCTATGGCCAAGAAAAAAAATTGCTCCATTCTAAAAAAAATTCAGATATTTTTATACTTTTTATTTCAATACAACAACACATTTTTACAATAATTTTATTTTCCAAGCTTTTCTTTGAGCAAAATTATCAATTACATTGTCGAAATTTGCTTCACAAAATGTTTCAAATTTTATTGATAAAATACTTAAAAACACTAACTTTCCTATCAACCAAGTGTCCTCTTCGTTGTTTCAGACTTTAGCCCTTAAGACTGTCACTATGTTTCCTTTTTATAGATTTATTCTCGTATTTAGTAGTTTATTTAAACATTTTTAGGTAAGTGTTATTAAACTTTTTTAAAACTATTCTGAAGTTTTTGTATTTCTGTAGCTATTATTTACCTACGAATGATTACTTCATTCGTAAAAATGACGAACGAAATACGGCGGTATGTCGGTACTCGAATAATTCGGTATTCGAACACAAATTCTGGAAAAAAAAGCCGCTCGGTACTCGAACGAACAAACGCGACCCGCTTGAACAAATTTTAGATTAATAATATATTTTTATTTTGTCATACATAAACATTTTTATGATAAAAATTAAAAATATGAAAATGTT